TGTTGAGATTCAGACTCTTGTCTGTGATTCCTTCCCCAGATCATGCATTGTTACTTCTAGAACTAACACTTGGTCTCATCTCATCAGGGACAAACCAAAATCAAGTCAAGCCAATGTAAAGAGTGCTGTGTGGAAATCCCAACCAAAGTACACATTGTACTTGAAAACAAGGAGAGGTCATTGTGTTCTAACTGTTGTTGACTTAATGAGTTTGCCCAAATTTAAAGGTCTGTTATACTTTTTTTATGCTTCAGATGTCTATGCCTCAGGGGCCTCTGATGCCATGGGTATTGGTTGGCAGGGGAGTGGGTAGTGGGGTGGTGTTGGTGGTGAAGGGGTCAGTCCACAGGATCCTTTATACTTTTAAGAATGACAAACCAAGAAAAACAAAAAGTCTTATTCACATAACTCTGAGGACCTGGAACTTGGAACTTCCAGAATCCAAGTCAGAAAGTTACACATGTGACCCCAGTGATGGGAAGGCAGAGATAGGAGGATCCCTGGGGCTTGCTGGTGGGGCTTGCTGACTAGTCAGTGTAGCCAAATCATCAATCCCCAATTCAGTGAGAGGCCCTGTGTCAAAAAGTGAGGTGGAGAGTGATTGAGTAAGACAACTGATGTACACACACACACACGTGCATACACACACATGCATACACATACATATAAATACATGCACACCAGATATACAAACATACACATAAAATACAAAACTCTTGGAACTAACACAATTTCCTCTGAAAACTTAATTTGTTTAAGAGGATCTTGTAATAGGGGCAATAAGATCTTTGTCTGGGTCCTACCCACCTAGGGCCTATTGTATAACAGGGTAGGATAGCCTAGTCATTTCTTAAGACTAAAATCCAGCCAGCACTATGGACAATCCAGTACAAAGTCTTGGTCTTCAAAGGGCCATAAAGGGAGGCATGCTTTTTCTGAACTGTATTCTATTTAAGCCTCTGCTTCATTTCCTGCCTCCAGATTTCTGCCTTGTATTCTTCTGACTTTTCTGGATGGTGTACTGACTGCAAGCTGAGAGATGAATAAATCCTTTCCTTCCCAAGTTGCATTTGGTCATGGTACTTTGTCACAGCAATAGAAACTTTAAGTAAGACAGATAAGTGCAGATTGATGTTATGAAGTAATCCAACACTAGCTCAGAATTGAAAAAATAGTAAAGGGTTATTTATTTAGAGGTAGACTCACAGATCACAGTCCTATGCATGAATGGGGAACAGGAACTGAATCCAGTACCAGGAGAGAGTGTGTGTGCAAACTTTACAGCTGCATTTATAGTATATGAGATCACACCTAAGTGGGTTGGTTTCTTAAAGGTTATTGGCTGAAGTAATTCCCACAGCACCCCGCTTTTGTCTAAATAAGAGAGTTCTAAGCCTAACACAAAACTATATACAATAAGAACAAATATCAAGTATAAAAATTAGAATTACAACTAGCATAAGCATTATCAAACAAGACACATATGTTAAATGCTTCAATACTATCCTAAGGAATCTAAGTCTTAGGTTAGAAATACCTTGGCCAATGGCTGGAAAGATGGCTCAGTGGTTAAGAAATAGCTTGGCCAAGTCATAAGTGAAAAGTAGCTACAACTATCTAGTCTTCAATCCCATCAAAGACCTGAGAAGGGAAATAATATTACTTGAGTAAACAGTAAGTGCAATGAAACAACTTCTAAAATATACAATAAATGAAAGAGACAACTGGCTGCCTGGACAATCACCTAAAGTCTCATTTGCAACATTGGATCAATGAACTTTGGTTAAGGCTTAGAGTAACCGAGAGATCATTTTCAGAGGCAGGAAAATTTTCAAAACCATCTCGTCAAGGTTTGACAGTCTTTTTTTCTTTTATCCTGGTCATCCTGTACAGACACTATGTTTTTTTGTCAGTGATTGGGGTATGGGCAGTTCCTTGTTGACAGCTCTTAGGTCTGTTGCCATTCTCCATTTTCCAGATTTCTTTTTTTTTTTAAACAAATACAGGAGAATTCCAAGGGCTGATTGATTCTTCAATATGGTGAGCATCTATTTGCTCCTGTACCAGCTGTTCTAAAGCCTGCAGTTTCTCTTCTGTTAAAGGCCATTGTTTAACCCATATTGGTTTCTCAGTTAACCATTTAAAAGTAGGAGCATTGGTACCACTGAAGATTTGCTAGTTGATTTGTATTCTTGTACAGCCTGAATGACTGGTGACCTTTGTGTATAGTACCTTATAATATCCTCCTCAGAAACATGAGTTTATGGGACTGCAGGAATGTTAATCTGGGTATTCCATTGTTTCAGTAGGTCATGACCCCATAATTTCACTGCAATATTAGCCACATATGACCTTGTCTGTCTTTTGTTGATCTACATTCACTGGACCAATGTTGACCTTTGCTGTTATTATCTTCTACATAACCCAAAGGATTGAGACCTTCTATTTTTGCCATTCCTGGAGCAGACATTATTTCTAGGAATTCATTGTCTACAATCCCTTATCAGATGTCCTATTCTACCACAATTAAAACATTTGGCATTTTGATATCTCCTCATACCTTTGGAAATTGTTTCTTCTACTCAAGTCTCATTCAGTATTATAGTCAAATGTCTCAACATTCATTGTATTCAGGATCCATTCATCTATTGGTGCCCATCTAACCTTTAAAGGTCCAGGTATCTTTTTGCATTCTAAGTTGGCATTTTCAAAAGCCAATGATTTAATAAGTACTCATCTAGCTTCTGGGTCTGTTACTCCTGTTTGTACAGTCTTAGTTAATCTTTGTAAAAAGTCACGAAAGTGTTCTCTTTGGCCTCATTTAACATTAATATGTGATTCAATTATTTTTCCTAATTTTTGAATCCTGTCACAAGCATTTAAGGCCTCTGTGTGGCATAGGGAGCTTGAGCCTGTGGATCAACATAAATGCCCTCACCAAGGATTTGAACTTGGGAAGCCTCATATCCTTTTGCTTTCCCCTGTTGTTCTAAAAATTATACCCCTTCTCACCAATAGCATTTCCACAGTAGTTGTGGTCCATCTTCCAGGATCATTGAAACTAACTGAAGCCAAACGTGTGGGGTAGCCTTATTGCTGGAAGCCTATGTCTTTAACATCGCCCTAACAAATGCTGAATGCAATTCATAAGATACCATTGCTTGCTTAATTTCTTTTAGATCGTTCATACCTGTAGGTGTCCATACTTTGGATCCTTTTGGGCATTTAGAACTTGATTCTTTTTCAGAAGTGATTATAGAGTAGGAAGTTAAAACCCTGGGTAAGTCATCTCTGACTCTGACATGTACTGGCAGTATTAAATTCTGTCCTTGTACCTTCTCTCCCTGCTCATCAGCTCCAATAATTTCATCCATCATTTTAAATCTCTTTACTACTGTCTTTTGTAGAGCTGGAATCTCTTGGTCTGTATATATTTCTGGTGATCTCATTGACGCACCTAGTCTCTGGTCTTCATTCTGCATATGTGATTCCAAGGTATGAAGTTTTTCCTTTAAAGATAACATCTCATCCTTGGATATTATTTGGATAGTATGTAGATTGCCCTCCTGGAGAGATATTATATTTGCTAACCTATTATACTTAACATATTTTGATTGTTAAATTCAATAGTATGAATACTTTCATATAATTAATCAGTAACTTTTGATATGGATTGAATTTTGCCTGTCAAATTATGTTATCCTTTTCAATGGCATTATGTTTTTTAGCTAACTTTTGATCTTCAGTGGCATTAATCCTGTCAGCTATCTGTTCATTATTAGTCTGCAAAGACTGTATTATTTCTCAAAGTGTCTGATACTTGGCTCTGTTATCAAACCATTTTCTTACGGATATAATATGAAAAACATAGCTAAGCCCCAATATCCAATAAATGGATGCATTGGAAAAACCATATAAACCTTGCAGAATATCATCCAAAGTATAAGCAAAAAGGTTATTAAATCTTAGATGGGAATATTGTCTGCAATTATGCAACTTTCAAGTTTATTGATTTATTTATTAGTCAAATAGTTACCTTTGTTATGATATTAAATTGCTGTTGGTGTAATAATCTTTATTGGCCAGAAGGAGTCATGGTTGCAGGTGTCGTGTTTTCAGCTGTCGTGGTTGCAGCTGTGCTGCAAAGAGATGGGACCAGCATCATAAACAATTCTGTACTGCTTTGGTTTTGTACATTGGTGCCTGGTTAAATGCTGACAAGTATTCTTTGCTTGACAAATTAAGAACAATTAAGTCAATTTTGCAGAAAACTGCTTAGTAGGTAAAATCAAACCAAGTGGGTGGGGGTTAGAGACCTTTTGGGCAGTGGACATTTTGGGCCTTTTAGGCCAGTCCACATGGTAGGTGTGGAGTTGGAATTCAGGTGGGTGCCAGATGAAGATGGATGCTATAAAGTAATCTAATAGCTCATAATTGATTATAATAAAGGGATATCTATTTATTTTTCTTTTTTATTTGTCATTTTTTTAAAAAAGAAAACAAACTATCTTTTTTTATTATACATACCAATCCAAGTTCCCACTCCCTCCCCTCCTCCAATTCCCTCCACATACCCACCCACTTCACTGCCATTCAATCCTCAGAAAGGATAAGGTACATTTGGGGAAGGCCCAAGGCCCTCCCTACTATATTTAGGCTGAGAAAGGTATCCATCCAAAGAGAATTGATTTCCAAAAAGTCAGTACATGTAGTAGTGATAAATCCTGGTGTCACTTCCAGTGGCCCCTCAGTCTGCCCCAGACATGCAACTGTCAACCACAATCAGAGGGACTAGTGTGGTCCTATGCTTGTTCCTTCCCAGTCTGACTAGAGTTTGTGAGCTCCCATTATGGGTCCCTGCCCTAGCCACGCCCACTCCCATAACCTCTGACCCGCCCATCGCCATCTTGGGACCTCTCTCTCTCTTTCTGCTTCCTTGGCACGCGTTTTCTCTGTCTCTCTCTTCTTTTATCTCTCCTCTCTAAAACCCTTCATGGTTTTTAGGGATGGGGGAACCTCCAACCGCGGGCCTTCAGGGCCTCGGTTCCCTTCGCTGGCATTCAATTTGGCTTGTCTCCTGTGTTAAGCCTCAGCTCACCCGCGCCTGGAGGCCCGGGGTCTCCAGTTCTCTTTTTTTCTTTTTTTCCTTACTTTTCTTCCTTCCTTCTTTCGTCGTAACTGCTGCTACGGTGCAGCACGCTGCTACAGTGCAGCACGCCGTTATGGTGCGGCCTGACCTTGGCTGAATCCCTCCTGCCCGGGAATCGCTCTCCCGTCGGAGGCTCGAGTCGATTCAGCCAGGTTATAACATCCCCCCCTATGGAATCGGACGCCATTCCATAGGGCCAGCGGATGTTCATGCCATCTGCATCTCGCCTTAACGGGGAGCCGTTCTCGTTGTAGGCTTGAGGTGCCACGGTTTTTGCGGGTGTTTGCACGGCCTTGACCACGGGAGCCAATCCATCCAGACCTATCACTCTGGCCTCATCTTTTAATGCCTCACACTTATCAGTTTTTGTCCAAAATGGCCCCATTAAACTATACACGGCCGTTTTTCGGTTCCAGCCTTTTGCCCCTCCCCTCTGCGGCTTTTGTTGTGGCTTGGCGGGCTTTCCAACTGAGCAGACTACACATGGCGGTCGCCATCTTGGCTGGAGGCCAGATGGGTCAGGTGACCTTTTCGCCGCCATCTTGGCTGAGAGCCAGGTCATGTGACCACACTCTCCCGGTTTTACCCTGCCTTCTCACCAGGTTTTCACCAAACTCCTTATGCTAACTCTGTTAAATATGTTTTGAGCAATGGTCAAATGCCTTTGATAGGGCCCATCAGAGGCATCCACGTTGCCCAATTCCTGTTCACTCTCTATGTACAATAATTGTTTATTACATCTTATTTCAGACTACAAAACATGAGTCTTGTATTTTAAACTGGTATGTACCTTTAAGTCTCTTAAGCTGTTCTTTACCATTGTCAGTTTTGCCGCTAACCTTATATTTCAAGCAGTTTTTCCCTCTATCTTTTTACAAATGTAAATCTTACCTGTTAAGAGCCAATTTGGTCAAGCTCAGACCCAACTTTCCAAACAAATTCTATACTATAGTTATACCTGATAAACAGCCCTCAACTGCTCAGAGATCTGGGGAATGTGATATTTAAGTGTTTGATTAATTAAAAAAAAAAAACTTTTAACAACGACAAAAGAGACAGGTTGGCTCCTAGCAGCAGCTTTCTGCTCCCTCCAAAGAAGACAGTCACGCGCAGAACAACGTCCTTCTGCATCTCGCTTCGACTGCAGAGCGCTGACCATTGGGAAAACCTGCCTTTCATCTAAACTAAAGATCTCTAGACGTGGACGGAATCACCGGAATCGACAGCCTAGCTGCTCAGGTCAAGGTAGGCCTGTCTTCCTACAGATTTCTTAGCCCACAGGATCTTCTGGAGCCTGGCAGGCCCTGCGCTAAACAGCAAAGCTCAAGTGCAACCTTCAGCGACCATGGAGGACCCAAAAAAGAGTAGCTCTGGGTGCCAACCAAGTAAGTTCTCTGTCATTTTTTAATCAGTTACTCAAGTAAAATCTTATCCTTCTCAAAGATCTCTGACAGTCTGACAGCTGAGAGGTTTCGCCAGGTTGAGGTTTTACAAGGTGACCTCACCAAATTTCAAACCAAATTTATCTCTTATGCTACAGTCATTATATGTCTAAAACTTCTGTTTTCACAAACCCAAGGAGTTCTCATGAGTTCCAGGGAGCCAAATCAAGAAATCCATCTTAAACAGGTCAGATACCCCCTCGATTCCCTGGTCCTAAAATTTTTTCTTTTAACCTTAATTTGACTTTGTTCTTTGTTCTGCCAATAACTTAGGGACTCCAGACATTCCCATGCCACAGACATCGGTCAGAAGCAAAGAGACCAGCTATGCCAGGATGTTCCCAGCACCCCAGCCTTCTCTCGCACCCCCCCCCAAGACGACGCCCACAATCAGCCGGAAGCAGTCTTGAGAATTCGCCGCCCCAATTCCTTCAAACTGAAGTGTCTAATTTGCTTTTTATCAAAAGCAAGATGTGGGAATGATATTCTTGGGTCCCTGCCCTAGCCACGCCCACTCCCATAACCTCTGACCCGCCCATCGCCATCTTGGGACCCTCTCTCTCTTTCTGCTTCCTTGGCGTGTGCACGCGTTTTCTCTGTCTCTCTCTTCTTTTATCTCTCCTCTCTCCTTTTATCTCTTTTCTCTGTCTTTCTTTCTCCCCCTTCCTTAATAAATACTTATGGCTATTTCCTGTGTTTACGTGTCTGTTACCTGCCGCCACCGTGGGCCAAGGAAGCGTGCCCTCTTGTAGCCGCCCTCATGGCGGGCTCCCTCCGCCAGCCCGCCCGGGGACCATTTGCAGCAGCTCTCTAATCGTTTTTTAAGAATAACACCCATTAGCTCAGGCAAACTGTTTCAGTGGGTGTACCCACCATGGTCTTGACCTCTTTGCTCATATTCTCATTCCTCCAACTCTTCAACTGGACTTTGGGAGCTCAGTCCAATGTTCTGAGGTGGGTCTCTGCCTCTATTTCCATCAGTTGCTGGAAGAACGTTCTATGGTGATATTTAAGATATTCATCAGTTTGACTATAGGTCAAGTCAAGATCAGGGCTCCTCTCCTCTATTGTTTAGGCTCTTAGCTGGGGTCATCCTTGTGACTTCCTGGGAATTTCTCTATTGCCAGGTTTTTTTGCTAAGCCTATAATGGCTCCCTCAATCAAGATAATCTCTTTTCTTGCTATCATCTCTGTCCTGTCCTTCCTCCTTCTCAACTGTCCTATTTCCTCAAGTTCTACACATCCATCCCCTGCTCCCCTCCTCTTCCCCTTCCACCCTCCCATGTCCCCCCCCATGCTCCCAATTTTGTCAGGCAATCTTGTCTGTTTTGACTTTGCAGGTGGATCTATATATGTTTTTCTTAGGGCTCATCTTATTACTTTACTTCTCTAGGATCATGAACTATAGGCTCAATATCATTTGTTTATACACAGTATTCACTTATGAGTGAATACATATCATATTCATCTTTTTGGTCTGGGTTACCTCACTTAGGATAGTATTTTCTAATTCCATCCATTTGCATGCAAAATTCAAGATGTCATTTTTTTCCCCACTGAGTAGTACTCTAATGTTTAAATGTTCTACATTTTCTTTATTCATTCTTTGGTTGAGGGGCATCTAGGTTGTTTCCAGGTTCTGGCTATTACAAATAATGCTGCTATGAACATAGTTGAACAATTGCCTTTGCAGTATGTTTGAGCATCTTATATGTATATTCCCAAGAGTGGTATTGTTGGGTCCTGAGGTAGGTTGATTTCCAATTTTCTGTGAAACTGCCATACTGATTTCTAAAGTGGTTGTACAAGTTTGTATTCCCACCAGCAATGGATGAGTGTTTCTCTTACTCCACATCCTCTTCAGTGTAAACTATCACTGGTATTTTTTATCTTAACCATTCTGACAGGTGTCAGATGGAATCTCAGAGTTGTTTTGATTTGCATTTCCCTGATGGCTAAGGATGTTAAACATTTCCTTAAGTAAGTTTTGGCCATTTGAAATTCTTCTGTTGAGAACTCTCTGTTTAGTTCTATATCTCAATTTTTAATTGGGTTATTTAGAATTTTAATGCTAATTTCTCAAGTTCTTTATATATTTTGGAGATCAGTTCTTTGTATGATGTGGGGTTTGTGAAGGTCTTTTTCCATTTGGAAAATGCCTTTTTTTCTTATTGACTGTGTCCTTTGCATTACAAAAGCTTTTCAGTTTCAGGAGGTCCCATTTATTTATTGTAACTCTCAGTGCCTGTGCTACTGGGGTTATATTTAGAAAGTGTTCTCCTGTGCATTGAAGACTACTTCCCACTTTCTCTTCTATCAGGTTCTGGGTGGTTTGATTTATAATGAGGTCTTTAATTCATTTGGACTTGAGTTTTACGCATGGGGATAGATATGGATTTATTTTTATTCTTCTACATGCTGACATCCAGTTATGCAAGGAGCATTTGTTGAAAATGATTTCTTTTTCCATTGTATGATTTTAGCTTCTTTGTAAAATATCAGGTGTTCATAGGTGTGTGGATTAATATCTGGTCTTCAATTCAATTCCATTGGTCAACCTCTCTGTTTTTATGCAAATACCATGCTGGATTCATTACTGTAACTCTGTAATAGAGCTTGGTGTCAAGGATGGTGATTCCTCTAAAAGTTCCTTTATTGCACAGGATTATTTTGGCTATCTGTGTATTTTTTGTTTTGTTCATATGAAGTTGATTATTCTTTTTTCAAGGTCTGTGAAGAATTGTGTTGGGATTTTGATGGGGATGGCAATACAATACAAAGAATTGATAAAACAAAGAGCTGGTTCTTCGAGAAAATCAACAACAAAGAAAAACTTTTATCCAAACTAATCAAAAGGCAGAGAGAGAACATGTGAATTAACAAAATCAGAAATGAAAAGGCAAACAAAACAACAGACACTGAGGAAATTCAGAGAATCATTAGGGCATACTACAAAACCTGTACTCCACAAAATTGGAAAATGTAAGAGAAATGGAAAATTTTCTAGATAGATATCACATACCAAAATTAAACTTGGAAGAGGGACCTGGGGTTTTGTCCCACTGTGGAGGTCCTAGAGAGTGGGGTATCCCACTGTATGGCTGTTTACTCACCTCTTATGTCCCCAGTATTGGAACAAGTTGTATTTCAGAGTTCCACCTAAGTTGCAGGAGGATCAAAGGGTTATTTATTTAGGGGTAGTCTTACAGGTCATTGTCTTCTGTATGAATGTGGAACAGAAACCAAATCCAGCAGCTGGGAGAGAAAGACCATGTACAAACTTTACAGCTGCATTTGTATCATGTTGAGATAGGAGCGGCAGGGCTGCGTCCCCGGCACCCGGCTGCCCGCATGGCTAGGTTATGCCCCGAAATAATTACATGGAAACTGTATTTTTTTTAACACTGCCTGGCCCGTTATCTGTAGTCTCTTATTGGCTAGCTCTTACATATTGTTCTAACCCATTTCTAATATTCTGTGTAGCCCACAAGGTGGCTTACCAGGGAGGATCTTAACCTGCGTCTGTCTGGAGTGGGAGAACCATGGCAACTCCCTGACTCAGCTTCTTTTCCCCAGCATTCTCTTCTGTTTACTCCACCTACCTAATTTTCTGTCCTATGAGGGCCGAGGCAGTTTCTTTATTATTAACCAATGAAAGCAACAGATAAGATACAAGACCAACCTCCATCAGTATCATAAGAGACCATGCC